TTTGAAATATGAGTGGAATTCCCCTTTAAATCAAAGCAAGCCTAATGGGCTCTTTATATATTATCATATAGGATGAGCTTCTATTCAACTGGGGAATATTCTGTCTCCATCACTGTGTGTTTGATAGGCTAGTGGGTAAGCTGGTGGAGGAGTACCCTCGCTCTTGGGACATCCACCTGCCTGTTGCCTCTCTGCGTCTGTGCTGCACACAGCACCCCACCACCGGGAAAAAGCCTTTTACAGTGATGTACAGTAAAAGCCTCCCAGCCTTCATTGCACCCAGAGAACTGCCTGTGAGTACGAGAGACAAACCGCCTCTTACATCCTGCCATTGTCTCAACACGGAAACACTAAACACCTGTTGTATTTGTGATCCGGCACTAGATTTTAGTCACTGTAATCTCTCATTTTTATTATTTTAGTCACTATATTGCTTGCCTTGTTGTTCTTTACAGTCAAGAAAACAATTCATTGGAACATTTGCAACAGTGAAATGAGAATAGCTATGTAAAATAAATGGCATAGAGAGCTTTATTTTTACCCTTTATTTTAACATAAAGGGTAAATCCACTTCAAATGACCAAATTTCAGGAAACAGTTTGCTTAAGATAGTCAGGAAATAATGGCACTGTGCCCAGTAGATAGTGTGCACAGTTTTAGGCTTGTATCGTCTTTAATTTCTGAGATATAGAGGCTTTAATAAGTGGGTGTGGCCTTTAGTCCCTAATGAAAACCTTTTTTGCCTTAAATGAGTGCTTTGGAAAAAGATTCAAACCTTAATACTTTTTGTGATTTGTGTAAACTCTCTGCTTTATTGTGGATGTTTTTGTTTTCTCTAATGTTTACAGTGCAGCGCTCCTGATATTCGCCTGAGCTCCTTCATCATTCCACACATTGAAGCCAGTAAAAGGAGCAGCAACGAAGAAACCCCCAGTGAGTGGCTTACGGCATTTTATTAATAGTAATTACAGCCAAGTCAAAACAGCCAAGTTAATCAGTTTTCAGATCAAATATAAGATAGTCCACTTGTGTGTGTGTGTGTGTGTGTGTGTATATATATATATATATATATATATATATATATATAAGGATAAAGTCAACAGGGAAAAAAGAGAAAAAAAAACGGAGTTCAAAAAACTGATTAAAAGCTACAGAGAAAATGGGGCTCCTAACAACCACTTGGAAGACCTGGTAGACATCAAAACTGTCCCCATCAGATAAACAGCACTAAAAGCTTTCATCTCTGAGAGAGAGGAGAAAATCAAGCTGCTTTAGATCTGAAAACATCCACAGGTGTTTCTGTCCATCCTTCCACTGTGAGAAGACGACTCAGCGCTGTGGGTCTGAAAGGATTAGTAGCTGTCAAAAAGCCCTTACTTACATATAGATTCCTCGATTTTCAGCATCAGGAAAACAAACAGAAAACATTTTAATTTTTTCTGTATTTATTGTGTCCACTCTTTACCTTCATTACAGCTTCCATTTTTTCAGGAGACTTGCTTTCAGCTTTTTTAAAGAAATTTGTTAGGATATTTTTCCACACCTCCAATGTTCAGTCTTAGAATTTGGTTTAGCATTTTCTGCTTCTCACAACCCGAGTAACCTCAAACACATTCACTGATGTTGAGTGTCTGGACTTTGTTCTGAGAACACCAACAGCTTCTTTATTTGATTTAGAAAAGTTCTTCTTTTTTGTCTGTTTCCTTTTCTCAGTATTGGATAAAAGCTGAGTTGTGGGCTGCAGTTCCTCATTAGATTGAAGGGATTTTTACCAGCATTATGTGAAACCTGTCCAACCTCACAACAATAGATACAAAAGAACACACCTGTGGGTGGAGCAGGGAGAGGGAGATTGTTATTAAAAACATATCTCACCTTTTACATTAAGTCTAATCAGCTTATTCTGGCATTTTTTTAAACAACTGTTTCCATTCAACTTTTATGAGCAACTTGGACTGCATATTGAGCTCCACCTACCTTACAGCTCCATTATCTACTGTGTCTGTGGCTGCACAAATTATCTACCCCCCCCCCGTATCCCATTCATCATTGGTCAGTTTCTGAGTACAGGGTTGCTGCTGTCCAGGTGCTGTTTGGCTCTACATAAATATTAAAGGAATACATCAGAATTTTTCACTAATCTATATCTATCGTATCTGTATTGTATCTCTAGTTACCACAGAGAGGAATTTCAACACATTTCCATGAACTTCCCTGAGAAGCTTCTGACTCCGAACAGATTTATAATAGAAGCGAATGGGCAGATGATTTCAGTAACTGACCACTGACTTCTATTATAAGTACACAGTCCATTATCAAAGACCTGCCCTAACCAAACGCAGCTTACTGTGATTTTAGACCTGTTTTTGGTTGTACAAAATGTGAATTCATATTCTTTTGTCACGTTTGACATTTCAGGTGCTCTGCCAGATCAGAGATGAATACGGACCATGCTGAAGGACATGCTGTCACCGTCAAATCCAGAAAAAGTGTGGGTGTGAAAGGGCTGCCTCAGTTTCTGTTCTGTTTAAGTTTACGGTTGGAGACAAAAACAATTGAACAGGCAGATCTTACTGAGACGCGATCACACGTCGGGGCACATTTGCACTGTGGAACCATCTAAAATTTGTTGGAAACTCGGAAAAAAGCGTTTCTAAGTTAGAAATGCTGAACGCTTCTTCAGAGTGTTTTGATTCCTGTTAAAGAAGCTTAATGTGCTGTTCTCAGATCGTTAAACTCAATAAAGGTTTCATTCTGCTTCTGAAAGCCGTTTTGTGATTTAAATGCGGTGTTTATTCATTACACTATGCCCAAAAGCAAAAAGTTCCAAAAAATGGGACAGGATGTTAAAGGGGAATTCTGCTCTTTCAGGTTTCTGCACAGTTCAGTCTTTGAGATGTAAATGAAATCATTCAGAGTGGTTTGATGTGAAATGCTTCATTGTAGAGAAACTTGCAGGAACCAGGGGTCACAATGTCTACAACACAAATATAGCCATTTTATTTACTCTCCAAACCACCAGTGAACCTGTATGTGTCTTCTGAGATTGTATATCGTTGTTGTCGGACCAAAACTTCGTATCTACAAAATGGTAACTTTACAGGAGAAGGAAAAAACATACTTAACTTTTAATGTAAGTCAATGGAACCAGACGTCTTTCCAAGTCATTTTGGGCCGTTTCTTTTGGTCCATTCATCTTGAAATTTACACACAATATAAAGGACACTAGGTATTTTCAAATTACGTCTAAAACTGAAAAATGGAGATGCAAGGTTTTGGCCCGACGGCAGCGATATGCAATGCTGATGATAGTAAAAATAGTGGTTAATCTGAAAAAATACATTTTCTTTGGGAGCTGTTTTGCTTTATGATGCGCTGAATGTAAATCTCTGCTATGAATATGAATGAGGGTAAGACTCAACTCTCCAGTTTATAGGCAACTAAGAAGAATTTCACTGGTACTTCAAACTTTATAATTAAATGGTTGTGATGTAAACGAAGTCATTTTAGTTGCTTTGGTGTGAAATGCTTCGTTCTAGACAAACTTACCAATTCAGAATTTTTCACAGTGGTGGTGATGGGAACCGGACGTCTGAAGATTTTAAATGCCTCCTACAGAAAGTTAATACACTAAATGGTTATGAATACACTGCCTAATGCCTGAGACATTGTTTTATGATAGCTGTGTTCAGGTTTTGGCCTAAAACAATTTATTTTAAATGTATTCATGGTGGAGGGGTACATGTAGAGTGTTGTGAGGCAATATAGTCCCTAAACTTTTTTTTTTTAGATTTATAACTAAAAACTCATATAGGTTCATTTTGAATAATAAATAAAATGGCTATATTTGTGTTGTAGACATCGTGACCGCTGGTTCCCATAACCACCACTGTAAAGAAATCCAAGTTGGTAAGTTTTTCTGAGATGAACCATTTCACATCCATTTCACATTAAACCACTCTGAATTACTTTGTTTGCATCTCAACTGTTAAATTATACAGAAATGTAAAGAAATCAGTGAAATTCCTCTTTAAATACTTTGGATGCCTGATTCCCATCACCGCTGCTGTGAACAGTTCTAATTCTGTAAGTTACTCTTAAATGCTGCATCTTACACTGAATACCTTTGAATGACTTTGTTTACATCTTAGGACTGAATTATCCAGCTATTCTGAAAAGTGGAGTTCCCCTTTAAATCCTAATGAAAACAGAAATCAGTAATTATAAGTGCTGTTTGGCCTGAATTCAGTTGAAAACAGTACAAAAAACAGGATACTTGATGTTTACGCATTTTATTTATTTGTTTGTTTGTCTGTTCTAAACACCGATCAGGCATTACATTATGACCACCTCCTTGTTTCTGCGCTCATCATGTATTTTATCAGCTCCACTTACCATATAGGAGTACTTTGACGTTCTACAATTACAGACTGTAGTCCATCTGTTTCTCTGCATACTTTGTTAGCCCCCCTTTACCCTGTTCTTCAGTGGTCAGGACCCCCACAAGACCCTCACAGAGCAGGTACTATTTGGGTGGTGGATCATTCTCAGCACTGCAGTAACACTGACGTGGTGGTGGTGTGTTGGTGTGTGTTGTGCTGGTACGAGTGGATCAGACACAGCAGTGCTGCTGGAGTTTTTAAACACTGTGTCCACTCACTGTCCTGACCTTGTCAGTCCACCTTGTAGATGTAAAGTCAGAGACGATAGCTCATCTGCTGCTACACAGTTTGTGTTGGTCATCCTCTAGTCCTTCATCAGTGGTCACAGGACGCTGTCTGCTGGATATTTTTGATTCTCAGTCCAGCAGCGACTCTGAGGTGTTTAAAACTCCAGCAGCACTGCTGTGTCTGATCCACTCAGACCAGCACAACACACCACCACCACGTCAGTGTTACTGCAGTGCTGAGAATGATCCACCGCTCAAATAGTACCTGCTCTTTGAGGGTCCATGGGGGTCCTGACCACTGAAGAACAGCTTGAAACAAAGTGGGCAGAGAAACAGATGGACCACAGTCAAGTGTCTTCAGCTGAAGTCTTCGCTTTTACCGTTACTGAACGGCAGATGGCGCCACACCGCATGTAAACAACTCATGGAGAGATCACCGAGTAAGAGACTTTGGATTTTTAACCCTGTCCAGAAGAGAACTGCCCTGAACTCCTGGCCCGTGCAGCTCCGCTGAGCTCTCTCTGTCCTGCCGCGGACAGATGAGTCCAGCATGAGCTTTCCAAAGGTAACAAACAGCACGAGCTTGCAGCGCGCGCTCACCGCAGAAGCACGAGTCTGCCTAAAAGGGTCTGAGTGGACATCGCGTCATGAACAGACTCATCATTGGGATTGGGGGGTAGGTGGCTCCCCGCTGAAGTTCGCTTTGTGTTCACCAGCTACTTCTTCTAATTTTCCGTTCCACCTTAAATGGCACATTCTGGCGCATGTAACTGCTGCACCATTTAAGGTGGAACGGGGAAAAAATCCACTTTCCTCATTTTTAGTGTTGTTTTCTCTTTCAGTATGACAAATGGGGGTAAAAGCACGCTGAGCAGAAGCCTTCAGGGTCTTGTCCCCAACAGCTGCATCATTTCCCAAGATTCTTTCTTCAAAGTAATCACTTTCTTTATTCTTTCTGAATTACCTTATGAAAAAAGATGTATGGTAACAGTCGTTACAGGAATTTCTATAAGATTCCTGCTGGAATCGTATAGTAAATTTAGGCAGATAGTCTACTAGATACCACAGGATCCCTGCTAGAAAACTAGCATGTTAGTTTGTGGAATGTCTGCCCCAGCCAACTGTAAGTGTAAGTGTTATTTAAGCAATAGAACACAGAGGGAGGGTGTTATCGCGAAATAACATCACGGCTGTGATTTGGTCACCGTAGATCATCACAGCCGTGATGTTATAGCGATAACACATTCATCGAGTGTTCTATTGCTTTTTATACAACAGTTAAATAAATAAAGTAAGAAATTAATAAACTGGGCCGTGAACGCGGCGTTTAATATGTTTTAATGTTCGCAGTTCCTTCCGACAGATTATAGTTCCTTAACAATCAGCTTGTTGCTACGTCAGAGTAACGAGCTCCGCCCACTCGCTGCACAGCCGGCAGTTCGTTCTCCAGCTCCACACAGACCGACTGACAGTTTGGGAATTTAGTGTCGTCTCATCTTCAGAGTCGGACCAAATCGGTCGGTCAAATGTGATCTTAAAAGTGTCCATTTTCTGTATGTGACCAAAGTAAGAAGTAAAAACGTTCAAATGGTTTGAGCGTCTCCTACAGCTGTCAAAGTCGTTGCTTAGCAACGGCGTCTCAGCGGAGTGATACAGTGTTTGTCTAGGTGCAACAACAGCTCAACATACACAGTGGTGGACCATGCGACCTGGCGCAGCAGGGTCACCGAGTGCTCAAGAGCTTACAAATCGATCAGCCTCTCTTGCGTCACTCACTACAAAGTTCCAGACTGCCTCGGGAATCAACGTCAGCTCAAGACCTGTGCGCCAGAAGCTTAATGAAGTGGGTTTCGATGGCCGATCGACAGATACAGGATACCACAGGATCTCTGCTAGAAAAAAAACAGCATGGCTGGTCACCAGCAAAACAAGATATGTTGTGTTTTGCATGCTGAAGTGACCAGGCTGGGTGACCAGCTACACAACCAGCTTAGACCAGCATGGAATACATTTTTTTTTCAGCAGGGATATTATAAATTACTATATGACAGCACTAAAGTAATATTATACAGAGAAAACATAGATTATTACGGAAATAATGATTTCTTATAGTTTCTTATTGTATTACTGTCTCATTTAAAAGGGTTTGTTGTATATTTTAGGCATTGCTGATATTTATTATAGCACAACTATAGCTTTCATTCTAGTTCTCTTGTGTTCATTGTTATGAAATCTGAAAACTTGTTGAACATTTTGACTAACACTGCGCTTCTGGTGGTTCTTTTAGGATGACTCAGTGGTGCCTGTTGACAGCCACGGTTTCAAGCAGTATGACAGTAAGAACTTCTGTTATATTCTGAAACACAGCATGTGGCCAAAAATATGTGGACACCCCTCCTAGTTTTTGAGTTCAGGTGTTTCAGCCACACCAGTGGTAACGGACATAAAGTCAAGCACATCTCCATGCAGTCTCCATAGACAAACACTGACAGTAGAATCGGTCATGAAAAAACCTGGCGCTGCCATAGGGTGCCACCTTTGCAACAAGTTAGTTCGTGAAATTTTTGCTCTGCTAGATCTGCCCCAGTCAACTGTAAGTGCTATTATTATAATATGGAAGCATCTAAGTGCAGCAACAGCTCAGCCATGAAGCAGAGTAGACCACACAAACTCGCAGAGGGGCCGTTGAATGCCTCTGGAAGCGACATTACCACAATAACTGTGCGTCAGGAGCTTTGTGAAATGGGTTTCCATAGCCGAGCGTCAGCACACAAGCTTATGGTCGCTATGTGCAATGCCAAGCATCAGCTGGAGTGGTGTAAATTACGTCACCACTGGATTCTGGACTCTTCACACTTCAGTGTCTGACAGGATTGATGAATGAATTGAAACGTTGATTGTGAGCCAGGCCTTCTCGTCCAACATCAGCGTCTGACTTCATTCTTTTGACTAAATGGCCACAGATTCCCACAGACAAACTTCAAAATCGCATGAAAAGCCTTCTGAGAAGACTGGAGGCTGATATAAGTGCAAAGAAGGGCCAACTCCATATTAATACCCATGGTTTTGGAATGGGATGTCCACCAAGCTCATATAGGTGTGATGGTCAGGTGTCCACTTACTTTTGGCCATATAGTGTATTTCAACACGTTTGCTTAGCTGTAGCTTCAGGAAGTGAGAAAAAATCTTGTTTTGGTCCAATAATGCATAAACCTTGCTATACCTAACAATTAGAGTATAGTATAAACTTTAATGTATGCTAGTATATTATATACTACAGGGAGATTCACTCGAAAGAGGCCCCGAATATTCTGTTGTAACTCCCGTTAGGATGAAGCAATCTAAACCAAAAAAGTACACTACATACCTTGACATATGTATAATCACTTGCATTACATGCGATGCTGGAAGTGATCTCCGCTTTCTGCCAGACACATGAAGGGGTACGGGGGTATGCACCTGGAAGCTGCAAACAGAGGTTAAATGTCATGACGGCTGTCCGACACCTACCTCATCGCTCCAACACAGGGGCATCCCGGCTTGTTCGAAGCTCCATATACTGATGAGCACATTGCACAGTGTTTCGTTCAGATTGCTTCGTCCTAGAGAGAGTTATTGCAGAATATTCGGGGCCTCTTTCAAATGAATCTCCCTGTATTAGTATATATACTTAATATATATTAGTAGTTATTAATTAGCATGTCTCATTTTTATTTCTATATTAGTATAAATACTTTATATACACTAATAGTTGTTAATTAGTATGACTCGACTTTGACACATAATTCTAATTGATGACTTCAGATTCATTCAGTGTTAGCAAAGTTAGCTTTTTTTACTAAACTTTCTGTAGTCGGTGCAAAAATGCAAATCATAGAATTTCTTCATTCTGTTTCTATGATTAAGCCAACTATATTGGCTTTTTATTAACTTTATTTAGTCCAGGCATAACCTGATTCGTCTTAATAAACTGATACTGGGTAAATGCTTTCCTCAGCGTTGGATGCCATACACATGGACAGGATGATGAGCAAAGTCAAGTCCTGGGTGCAGGACCCTCAGAGCTTCATGCTGTCTCAGGGTCTCTCAGTTCAGGAGTCCAGTGTATTCTCTCTCATAGTGGAGGGCTTTCTCATCTTTAATTATGGGTAAATAACACTTTCTCACTTTCCGTTCCTCTGTCACAATCAAAAACAGGATGTGAAATTTATAGAACAAGGGCTTTTTTTAGTTGAGCCTGAAACCTGTTTTTAGCTTATGGAAACACCTTAATGTGTAAAAGGCCACTAATAACCTCGTTTCTAGCTGTTTGTGACATGTTGTTGTTTAAAGAGCCAGTATCCCCCATTTTTCATGAAATGTGATTTTATTCACCTGAAACGTCATTTTTACATGATCAATTTCTCTGATCCTCTCTTTATCCCTTAGAATTAAACAGGCTGTTTTCTGTTACTGTGCCTCTAAGACTCATATATGTAGATGAGCTCTGTTCTAACTAGCTGCCCTGCATTGTGCCTCATTCAACACTCCTTATAATGTCAGTGTGAATGGGCGGGGCTAAACTGCTGTTGGCTGAATAGGTGAATAGATATAATATATGTAATATAGTCATATGCAAAGTCAGGGCGCCCCTGTTTAAATGAGTATTGTGTTGATTGAGTGTATATAAGTCACACATCCTCTACAGAGAACACACTTCTGCACATTTTAATGCACAGTTACTGTTTATTTGCTGAATTTAACATATTAGGAAAAAAATGAAACATAAAATGTGCAAAAGTTATGAAATATTTTGTTTTATGCTTAATTTTTTCTAATATGTTTAATGTAACAAATAAGTTAGCAGAAAATGTCACACTTAAGTGTGTTCCCTGTAGAGGTGTGTTAACATATTTTCTCTTACAACTTTTACATATGACTGTATGAAAATGTGTTGTTTTTTGTTGTGACATCACAAAAATAATGATAATAAAACTGGCTGTTTAATTTTAATTTCCAGCTTAAGTTCCATATATAAAGTTTATGGACTGTAGAATGAACAGTACATTTTGAAACGTGCAGGGTTTACATACTACATCAAGCTCTTTTATTCCAAAAAAGTGAGAAAATTCCTTTTTTATGGTATGGGGATATGGGCCCTTTAAAGATGTCAAGCACTTTGGTTCAGTTCAGTTGTGCTGTATAAATAAAAATTGAGTCACTTAAAAAAATCTTAAAAAAAAGTCTGAGCTTGAGGAACTTTGCTTTGCAAGGTTAACTAGATGGGTCTTTATCTAAAACAAACTGTTTACCCTCATTTAGGAAAGTAAAGCCTGCAGCGGTACGTCACTTTACACTGCCAGAAGTCAAAGCCATGATGTTCCTGATGAACTGCACTGACGTTCTGCTATATGTGTTTGAATGTGTTTCATTACCAGACCCCTCAATGAGCTGTTTGACAAGAGATACTTCTTACAGATACCCTACGAGACGTGTAAGCTGAGGAGAAGGTAAGAGAGGATCTTTATTCCAATATTGCCTTTGTACTGAAATCGAATAACTTCAGAAGCCCCCCATTATTTCCTCTCCTAATCAAATGATGTAACTTATATAATTAACACATTTCCTGAATAGCTACTACCTAGTTAATTCTGAAATTTTATTGTGATCACTGCATTCCTGAGATTTGTTGCCCCAAAAACTTTTTGGAGTCGGCTGATCTAAATTTTGGTCATTGAATAACAGTGACCTATGCATTAATGTGGTTGTACAAGAACATTTGTTTAAAATGTAGATGATGATGGGGTTGTGGAGAGAGTAGTACATTCATTTTTGCCCAGAAAAAAAAAAAATTTACAAGTGAAAATATAAAGTTTGACTTTTGGGGGTAAGAAGTCCCCCCAGACACAGGGTAAAAGGTCCCCTTTAATACAGACCCAGAAATATTGTTTAGTTTAGATTTATACACAACGCAGCTGACCTAAAAAAAAAAAAAAGAAACTAAAAGAATTTTGTTTTTGTTTTTTAATTTGCCATTTTATTTATGCTTTTGAATGAATATACCAAACATGAAAACTACAAGGTAAGAAGGAAAATCAATAAGGCAAAACATTTTCAATAGGCCAACGCTTAGCTGACTAAAAATAGAAACAGTCTATATAAAATAGACTTAGTTAAATTATTACAGTACATTAATGTACATTAAGTTTACAGTATACTCTAAACCTTATGTATAGTAAGGTTTATGCATTATTGGACCAAAACAACATTTTCATTCATTTCCTGAAGGTACAGTTGAGCAAACTTGTTAAAATACACTATATGGCCAAAAGTAAGTGGACACCTGCCCATCACACGTGTTTGAGCTTGGTGGACATCCCATTCCAAAACCGTGGGAATTAATTTGAAGTTGACCCTTCTTTGCACTTATATCAGCCTCCAGTCTTCTCAGAAGGCTTTTCATGAGATTTTGATGTGTATCTGTGGGAATCTGTGTCCATTCAGTGAAAAGAATGAAGTCTGACACTGATGTTGGATGAGAAGGTCTCGCTCATGATCAAAATCAACATACTAATGACAATAACAGATAATTGATCAAATCCTCAGAAGACACACCTTCACCAAGTTTTGACTGAGTTCTCTTTGAATTCTCTTTGCACACACTTTCTTCCACACATCGTGTGCAATTACACAGTTCCACCAGAGAGGTCGCCAAATCCCCAAATCTTACGTAGTGCAGCTTTAACGATATTCCTGGAAAATACAAAGGCTAGAAATGATTTGATATACAAATTCCACTTTATGTGCAACTTAGATGACCTATTGATGCATGATTCAACAGGAGGCCTTCTGTATTATCTGTATTGTTGTTTTTTTAATCAACAGCTCGAGGGTCTACGTGCCTCCAGATCCCGTGGGCTATTTCGACGGACATGTCTGGCCCATGTACCTGAAAAACCGAAAAGAAATGGAGAACATGGTGCAGGACCTGGGTTAGTATTTAACCATCTTTGATTCTGTGAATAAGAGCTTCACTAAAATGAGTGGATGATGAGGTGACTGTACAGCTCTTATCCAAAACAGTCTAGACTTCAGGAATAATGAATGTCTTAATTTTCCTGATTTTATACAGAAAGTTAACCACACCTCCCTTTAAAGTGGAAGCTTTAGTTTTGCTATATATCTTGTTGAAAAAATGTATTTGCATACACGGCTACACTGTAGCACACACCTCAGACGCTTACGTCTTTTAACTGTTTGATGTAGTTTATATACATTGTTCACTTCCCAGTCCATATATGCAAAAAAAAAAACACTGAGGCAGTTCCATGAAATTCTCACATGTAAAGTGCAGCTGAAAAAATTTGGTAAAAAAAAAAAAGACAAAAATTGTGATGGATGGTGTTGCTTACAGCAGTTTAGCCCCGCCCATTCACACTGAAGTTATAAGTAGTGTTTCAGCCTGGACTTCTCTATGAGTTAAGCACAGTACAGGACAGCCACTCAGAACAGAGCTCATTTACATATATCAGTCTTAAAGGCACAGTAACAAAACAGCCTGTTTAATTCTACAGAATAAAGAGAGGTTGGAAAAGATCAGGTAAAATTGAATTACTACTATTTTTGGTACATAAATCCAAACAAATCATAAATGAACCTCAGGAGAAAAATAAAATACAATAAATATTTATGATTTGGGCCATTTAAACCACTCTGAGGACCTTTTATTTTTTTTTGTTTTTGTTTTTGATTTAGTGTTTCTAGATGGAAATCAGAAGAGAGAAGATTTGCTGGCCACGGTTTATAAAGACATCCAGCAGATGTTTACAGCTGGGTAGAACTGTATAGAAATGATAGTTTCAGGTGAGTCTGTCACCTATAAGGTTGACGATGGTTGACTGCCTTCAGTTTCTGTCTCTTGAATTTTGTACACAGCAGTAATGAGAGAGAGAGAGATATTTTAATTGAGTTTTGTTATCCAGCCCTTCATACTGACATTTAGCTATAAAAATAACATTCTGTAACATTAATTCAAAAGCTGGTCAATTTTATGTTTATTCAACACTAATAATTTGTTGTTTTCTGCATCCCAAACAGGGTCCACCAAACATGACGTCCACCCCATCACACAAAATACAGAGTAGACCGTTTTTTATTAATTAGATGTTTTACAATATTCACAGACAATGTAATTTACTGTTTACTCTTAAATTTACATTAGAAGGTATAACACTGTAACAGGGAGCTTGGCAGCCAGCTTTGCATGAAATATCTTCAGTATGGTGGGTTTTGGCTTCTCAATGTTGTTTGACATTATTATTTGAAATCTGTTTTTGGTTGGATCAGCGACTCTTATTCATCAAAGTTGCGTATGATAGTAAAATGACGACCAACAGTTTTGTATCTGTATCTGTACAATCAAACTCATGTCTGTTAGGAGTGCTTGTAAATTTGAGCGTAAACATTTAGCGGCCGGAAAAAAATGCTTGAATTGTGGTTATATAACCAAAATTATTACCAATATCTATAATACTAAGAATAAAAATAAAAATAGAAAATAATAATACTAATAATTTGTGCAGTACAAATGCAGATGTACTTACTTTACATGCACATTAGTGTAAACAGATGCTGCAACTATTCCATGTTCTATTTAAAGACATTACACTGTGCTTTTGTTTTATACTACTGACTCCGCCCCCTAAATAAACAATACAAGACAAGCTCATACTGTGCAATAATACAGCGTTTAAATACGTTGTTTTGGGAAAATAATCACACTACACAATCACGTCATTCTGCTGTCTTAAAAATAATGTTTTCTTTATTTCATATTTTGTTCTTTTCAGTGGTCATAGTTTTAACTCAAAGTTTGGTCAGTGATGGGGGAGCAGTTCACTCACTCCACGACTTCAGACTCCGCCTGCGAGCATAGCCACTAGCTGAATGCTGTCGTTTTATTGGCTTCCTACAGAAACATATGCATGATTTAGGGTGTGCTTCATGTAAATGACATGTAAATGAGGTGCTGGTCTGCTGGTGCTTAATTTCACGCACTGAAGCTGATTCATCATTTGAGCTCAAATCTCCGCTCGTTTCCACATAGTTGTGAAAGTTTCATGAAACATATGCGGAGAAGTTCGTACATCATTAAATGCAGACAAATCTTCACTCTTTTTTGTGTGACTTTGAGGAATGAGGGCTACTGTGAACTATGAAGCACAAAAAAATAAAATAATCAAGCCCTGATCTCATGGAATGGCTCCTGTTTATTCATTGATGTATAAAATATGAACATTGAAAATTCACACATAAGAAGAGATTAGAGGGCATAATCACATAATGGATCTCAGAAACTGATTAGCTGGACTGAAGCACTGCTGTTGGCTTTACTGTCAGTCAGTCAGCTTTTATTCATTCAAATACCTTTTTCATTCCAAGCACCATTTGATATGTTTAATTTTTACAGTATTGCCATAGATTAGCTAGCTGCTAACTGGCCAGCGTTATATTGTCGAGTTTTAGTGTGACATTGCATTTTGCATAAGGAAAGAGAAAGTCAAAAGAAATGTTTAAAAAAAACAATTAAATAAAATCCCAACAACCACCTATAAGACCTGATAGACCACCAACACTGTCCCCAGCAGATAAACAGCACTTAAAGCTCTCACTGAGAGAGAGGAGAAAATCAAGCTGCTTCAGATCTGAAAACATCCACAGGTGTTTCTGTCCATCCTTCCACTGTGAGAAGACGACTCAGTGCTATGGGTCTGAAAGGATTAGTAGCTGTTAAGAAGAACCTCACTGAGAAAAGGAGACGGACACATCAACATCCAGACCTCAACATCACTGAATGTGTTTGAGGTTATTTGGATTGTGAGAAGCAGAAAATGCAACCAACTTCTAAGACTGAACTTTGGAGGTGTGAAAAATATCCCTGCAGATTTCTTTGAAAAAACTAAAACTGAGTCTCCTGGAAAGAATGGAAGCTGTGATAAAGACAAAGAGTGGACCCACTATATACTGAAAAAGTTGGTATATGTAGTTGTGAAGCCTCTGTATAATGTTGTTTTCTGCTTTTTAGTGACACTGAAAAATAAATAACTTGTACTTAATGGTTGTTTTGACTGGAAATTAAATAAATTAATTACTGGTTTTTGACTTTTTACACAGTCCTGTACAGAAATAATGAAATTATGTAAGATCTATTATTAAAACAAAACTATGTACTAACTTATCAACTTAAATTCAACTCAGTTAAAGGATATTGTTATTATACCAGTGCTGTGTCAGGAAAGGAGGAGTTGAAAGTAATGTAAGATGCAGTAGCCCTAATCAGGATCAAGGCATTGAAACTGTTCGTAACTCATTCACACAGTGTAAGGCGGTCACTATCAGTTCTACTGCAGATTATTTTGATGATTAATCGAGAAGTTTTTAAGTAAGAAGACTACAAAGATTGACTTTACAGAGCAATTTTGTATGTCAAACATCTAATGCTGGCTGTATGATGAGAAACACAAGAACGGTCAGTAGAGACAATCTGATCTCAAGCTATGCTGTGACCATCTAATCACAACTACATTTACTGATCATATCCATCACAATACTGTTTTTAGATTATTCTGATTTTATTTGTTTATTTTTAATTTACTTCATGGTTAATTTGCCTGCAGTGGGGGAACAGAACACAGTGTTATTCATCCAAAGCAGCCTCTTATCTCCAAAATGGTAACTTTATAGGAGAAGGAAAAAACCTTCTTTACTTTGAATGTGAGTCAATGGAACCAGACATTTTTCGTAATGATTTTCAGTCATTTCCTTTGGTCCATTTATCATGAAATTTATACACGATGTAAAGGCCAAGAGGCATTTTCAAATTATGTCTAAAACTAAAAAACAACAAAAATGGAGATGTGAGGTTTTCTTCCGACAGCAGTGATATTCTAAATGTGCTAGTCTAAAAATAACCACAGGAAGACAGAAAGTACACTTTTACTGGATTAATCCTCACTGCATGAATGTTCTGTGCAAAACCTTCTGTATTTACCTCATATTTGTCTTTTATTTGTCTTTTCAGAAGCAAACAGAACAGTAATAAACATCAATTTGCCAACACCAAAATGTGGCAGTGTAGGTCACATGTAAAGTGACGCAAAGTGACTCTCCAGCATTTTAAAGCAGTGCACTGCATGAAGTAACACCAGTCTTGCGGACGCAGCCGTGATGATGACTCTGAGTGTGACTCTCTGCTTTACTGCTGTTCTGTTCAGCCGATACAGCGCCGTTCTGACAGCAGGTGAGAACAGCATTCAGACTTACTCAGCTACGTGACACCTTCATAAGCCTTTTATGACAAGTGACATGAACCTATATTAACTTATAAAGGTTTATTCCAACAAGTGTCAGTTGTCATGAAGGCTGCTTGTGTCAATTTTGATTAGTGCTTGTTAGAATAGGCTTTTAAAAATGTCTGTATAGGTTTATGTCAAATAACAAGGAAACACATTACAGTGTCATGTAGCCTTATGAACTCTGGCCATCAGTAGTGTTACTAGTTTGTTTTCTTTTAAACTTACGATTTCATCGACATATAGAAATGGATATTTTTTGCCATATAAACAGTCAGGTAAGCTTCTTCTGTCTTATTTTCTGAAGTCATAGTGCAGTTAAATCAGCAGTAAAGCTGACTGAGGTGGATTTAGAAGAATCCGTGCTTTAAAAAGCTCCTTTCAGCGTAGTTCAGAGTTTAGATTCCCGATGGATTTTTTCTCCCCCCCTCCACATTGACCTTCTACCCACAGATGTTTATTGTTGCATCATCTTCTGCTGACTAAACTTTGTACGTTTTGGTGGTTTGCCATCTAAACTTTGTTTTTCTTTTTTTAAACCTCAACCTCAATCGCTTTGAACTGTATCATGTACTTTCTACAGGCTCTGTGATGAAGAATCAAGGAGAAAATCTGACCATGGTGTGCACCACAGAGGACACTGACCCAACTGGTTTATATCTACATCTAAGATGCCCTGAGAAACATGAAGTATTTTACTATGACTTCAATAGTAAAACACTGATGTTAACCCCTGAGTACGATGGAAGAGTCTCCATCAGTGGCGACCCCAAGAGGCTAACAGTAACCATCACTAGTCTACGAGTGAGCGAGACGGGCGTCTACACCTGCGTGTTTAACTTTTTTGACGGAAAACGTGTAGAAAAAGAGACGAATGGTGTTCTGCTGTTTGTGAAAGGTGAGCAAGCATTTTTAAATATGATTCAGTGTTAATGCTCACTTCTCAGTCTGCTACACTATTGAATTTTAACAGTGTGTTTAATTAACCTACTTGATTATATCAACTCACACCGAATTAGAAAATGATATCATTAAAGAAAGTGAAATGTATGGAAAAAGATTTGCACATATGATGGTAAAAAGTATACATATGATGCAAAATGGCCTGATTTCTTGCAATTATCACTGAGATTTATTACTAAGCATCAGCATTTCAGCTTTGTCATCATAAAGGTGCACAAATATCTGTGGCATTCACTGGGAAATATATTAAACAATTTATTAGCCTGTTGAAAGTCTTAAAGAAAGGATGGAACCACAGATCAAAAATTGGTGAGGCAAAACTGTTTGTTACAGAAAAAAAAAAAAACGCAGCTGGCTAAATGCAACTAGGCCACTACCTTTCATGTCAGGCCGATAAGGTCTCTATAGGCCTACTGATGAACGGTGTCAGTGTTAGTTTGGATCCTGCACTTTACTGGGTTCAGCCTCAGATATCAAACTCTGCTAGCTAACATTTCTGAACAACATCAGGCTGTTTTCATATTCCCAGTTCATTTGTCCACAACAAAGTTTGAGATTTTGTGATATTGTATGTTTTTGATTTGATTTGGTTGGTTTCCTGCTTCAATGACTAAAGTGGACCAGATTACACCAGAGAGTGTTCTTGTATTGGTCAGCTGTTTTGCAGGGATGCAAGCGCTCTGTTACTCTGACATTTGCCATGAAAACAGAATAACAGATAATAGACGCTTAACGTCTACGTTTATCACAAAGCAACAATCATATGGCAATATACAGTAGAACTGCATATCATCAGCATAGTTATGAACATTGATCTCATGTTTCCTGATCACATTTCCTAAGGGGAACAATTACAGCAGTCCTAAAATGGAACCTTGTGGAACTCCAAAAGAAATGTACTATTTATAGATGAACAATTTCCCATAACAAGAAACTGGCAAAATTTAAACCATATTAAAACCGTCCCTAAAAGCCTACCCATATGTCTGTGGATCAAGTTTCCAAGTTGGGAAGCCTAGCCTGCACTATGCCCCCCCAGGGCTGCATGCATAATGTATATTTCTTTTTACAATTATCACAGATCCGGGCGAGGTTCCAATACATTTTCCCAGTCATCTCCACAAGCAAGAAGACACTGGGGAGCCAGTATTGGAGGTAAACCACTGGCTTAAAGGGGCAATGAGTGAAAATTTGTTTACTACTTGATGGTAAATAGCAATGGTTAATGCAAAAAAATTAAATTCATAAGCTGTTGTGCACCATTAGCCATTGATGTTTTACAGACCACCCAGGCATTTAAATCTCATCCCAGTCATTATGATATAGACACTTTCAGAAATACACCAATCAGAAATGCACTAATCAGGCATAACATTATGACCACCTCCTTGTTTCTACGCTCATTGTCCATTTTATCAGCTCCACTTACTATATAGGTGCACTTTGTAGTTCTACAGTTACAGACTGTAGTCCATCTGTTTCTCTGATACTTTGTTAGCCCCCTTTTACCCTGTTCTTCAGTGGTCAGGACCCCCATGGACCCTAACAGAGCAGGTACTATTTGGGTGGTGGATCATTCTCAGCACTGCAGTAACACTGACGTGGTGGTGGTGTGTTAGTGTGTGTTGCGCTGGTCTGAGTGGATCAGACACAGCAGTGCTGCTGGAGTTTTTGAACACCTCAGTGTCACTGCTGGACTGAGAATAGTCCACCAACCAAAAATATCCAGCCAACAGCGTCCTGTGATTACTGATGAAGGACTGGAGGATGAATAGCTCATACTGTACAGCAAGAGATGAGCTATCGTTTCTGGCTTTACATCTACAAGGTGGACCAATAACGCAGGTGCGTCTAATAGAGTGGACAGTGAGTGGACACAGTGTTTAAAACTCCAGTAGCGCTGCTGTGTCTGATCCACTCGTACCAGCACAACACACACTAACACACCACCACCACCATGTCAGTGTTACTGCAGTGCTGAGAATGATCCACCACCCAAATAGTACCTGCTCTGAGAAATATTAGATATATTGACTAGATTTAAGATCATTTCACTTGACAGAACATTATTTCTTGCAATGACGTCTGTCTGTCTACAGGGATCACCCAAGCTTGGCCCTTCAAGGTCTTCGTAGGCTCAATGTCGGCTTTTAAATAGACACATTTGTCTATAGTCCTCTAGAACCCGTCCAATCTTAAACCTGTGAAGATACTGGTATGCCACCAATGTTGTTATGTGACTTTTGCCCTCTTCTTAGACCCGTGAAGATACTAGTATGCCTCATACCTCTGTCCTGTGTGGTATGAGGCAACATCACCTCGCATTAACAGTTTTAGTATGCGCCCACATTTCCATTATTATTGAACCTAGGAGCTGCACATGCAACAATGATGAATAAAGGAGTGATATTAAGATATTTTTCATATATTCTATCCACTGTTTAGAAACTAGGAGGTAATGAATAGTTTAAAATACAGATTTAGATTGTTTGCATTAACTTTTTGATTGTTTAATAAAGGTACTGTCTCTAAAATGTGCCACAGGAGTCAGAGACACAACTTTCACAGCTTGACTATGACTTTCCACAGGCCAAGAGATTAAAGACCGAAGTGATGGAGGACATCTAGCGTCAGCTTTTACAGGAGGTCTCGTCCCTTCGGAAGGTGCAGGAAGAGCTGTTAAAGGTTGAGAGACAAAGACTAGAACTAGAAAAAGAGAAACTGAAACTAGAGAAAAAAGAAATGTAAAGGGATTTCATAAACAGTGTCTGTCTTCCTTTAAGTCGACCTTCTCTCAGTTAGATTATTACGGGTTTGCAATACAGAGTTAGTGGGAGGCACTGCAGCTCCCCAAAAGTAAAGGTAAAATGCCCCCAGAACAAGCAACAACTTAAGACGGCTGCAGTAGAGGCCTGGCAGAGCATCACCACAGAAGAGTGGTGATGTCTGTTGGTTCTAGACTTCGGGCAGTCATTGACTGCAAAGGATTTGCATCCGACTGTTAAATATGCCAGTTTAATTTATGATCGTTAGTTTGTTGAATTACTTTTGAGCCCCTAAAAAAGGTGTGGGGGGCTGTGTATGAAAATGGTTTACGTCCGATATCATTCACTCTGCTTGGATGTAAATACTCTCAAATTAGCTGAAAGTCTGCGCTTGCAACTCGTATCCATTATTTAATTTCCACTCCAATATATCTTTGAGACAGCTAAAATAGCAGTAACTTTGCCAATGTCCAAATATTTATGGACCTGACTATGTTGTGAAGCACACCAGTACATCTCTCCACAACTCGTTTTTCTCTGAGCGCTGGTCACGTCTGCTCCTGGCAGTCCCAGGACTGGCCACCAGACAGCACTGTTTCCCAGGTACTGTCTCTGTGGTTACCCCTGGTTATTTCCACCAATAGTCTAATCTCATTGCCCTGCCTATGTATACTCTGTGTCTACAGTCTTGCCATTTGTCTACTCTCTGCAGTTCTTAGCTTGGATTTACCTGCAGGTATTGGAGTCCACTTGCTTCCTCCATCTTGGCTTTGGTTAGCGTTTTTTGGTCTCTCTGCCTCTTATTTCCTCTCTCTTATCTGGTGTTTTGTACCCATTTTTACTGTGCTCTCTAGTTTGTGATTGTTCCCTTCACATGGATCCTGGAGTCCTCATTTCTTATTGTACTCTTTATTTGCTTTTCTACCTCTCTGCCATTTTATTTGCTAGTGATTGAGTCCAAAATGACTAGGTAAGGTTCACAAGTCTTCTGGGTTTTTATGTGTAATGTTGATATTGTTAAAATAGTGTTCAATCTGAAAAAATATCTTTATTTCGGGCACTATTCTGCACTCCGCTAGTAATTATGGTTTTTAAAGACACTGTCACAAGTGCCAGAAAAAAGGGCACATGGCTAAAAACTGCAGAGGTTTTAAGAGTAGTCAGAAAATGAGCTGTGTTAAAGCAAAGTGAAAGCTGGGTGAGCACAAGGCAGAGTGTTCCTATAGTATGTTCCACATTCTGTGTAGTACTAGAGGTTGATGGGAAGGAGTTTAACATGAAAGTGGACATGCGTCCGTTTCACCCCAGTCGTGCTGATAATGAAAGATGTTAATTGACAATAAACCAGGCCTCGAAGTTTGATGTGTACCCTCTACCACGGGTAGACAATCTTTTTGCTACACTGGTGGCAACATGTGGTACATGTCCACCCCCATGAAGGGATGGCTTCCTGCCCAGCGGTTTTCCAGCATGCGGTGGATTGTCTACTACAGAATATTTATTGTCTGCTTAGACAACAATTTAGTCATAGGCAAAACTGAGCAGAAGCACCTACAGTATCTCAACAAAGTGTTAAGGATGATGTGGGAGGATGGTCCTATGTGACCTACCTGGGTCGCTTCATTTCAGATGAGGGTGTATCCCCAGTTGAAGAGTAAGTTAGTGCAATTAAGGAGGCTCCAAGTCCAAAGAATGTTGGAATAGCTCAGGTTGTTTCTGGGGTTGGTGAATTATTATGGTAAGTTCTTACCTGACTTCTCTACTGTACGGGCACCCCTCTACCAGCTGCTGCGTAAAGAGAGGTGATGGAAAAGGCAGGCCACAAAGAAAAAGGCATTACAGCAGGCATTACAGCAGAGGCTACAGCATTCAACAAAACCTCTTGCGCACTTTGATCTAGGCAGAGAGAACAGTTTTTCTTGCGATGCATCCCCCTGTGCCATAGGGGGAGTTTCGTTCTCACCGTGTGGAAAATGGCTTTAAAAAGCCTATTGAGAATGTGTCACAGACACTCACAATGGCAAAAAGGGACTTCTCACAGCTAGAGACAAAAAGGCTAGTAGTAGTCTTTTTTAGCTTATACTAGGACATCAGCACATACTGAGACATATCAACAGCCAAGATGGTAAAATGGACATAAAATGTTGTGGCTCCTGAATGGGATCCAGAGAATTTCCTTAAAAGGGGAATTCCTTTCTGTACAGTAAGCTCTCCTACAAGCACACCAGTTTTATAAGGTAATCATTTTGTGTCTGTCTGTCTGAGTCGAAGGCTCTAGCCACTAGTCTTAAAATATATCTGGACATTTCCTCTCGGCTACACCACACCTAGCTGCATTTCCTGTTTTCATAATGGCCTGGTGTCAGAAAGGAACAAAAGGAAAGAATTACTAACAGCTTCCAAGGTGGTTTGATTTTTGTTGAAAGGACAATGATAAGGCTCTCCTTAACCTAACTCCTGTCCTAGGCAGCTACCTACCTTTGCCCGGTGCAAAGACCTCCCCTGTCAGTGTGCCTCTGTCAGAGGATGTCACCTTTCCAAAAGTCTACAAAATTACTGCCCACTGTAACTGCCTTGGTCAACTGTAAGTGCTGTTATTGTTTAGTGGAAACATCCAGGAGAGACAAAAGCTGAGGGGCGAAATAGTGGGGCACACAAGCTCAAAGCTTATTTTAAAAAAATGTTGGTGTGCTTACAGAACAGCTTTATGGTATAGAAATTATGGAAATCCACAGAATTTCTTTGACGTAGTGGCAACTCTGAAGTTTGGTGGGGGAGGGATAATGATCTGGGGTTGTTTTTCATGGTTTGGGTTCCGTAGTTCCAGTGAAAGGTGATTCTACAGCATACAATCATATTCTACAGAACTGTGCTCCCCAAACAGGCAGAAACACAAACAGGAACTGAGACTAACAATAGAACAAGGATTGTTCTGCAGAAGATGTTTGCTGCAGAAGTGTGGATCACTGAAAAATAGGAAAGTGACTGTAACTCAAATATAAAGCTATTTAAACTCAAACCTGTTCAGTAACTTGACTTAAGTTTGCATGATTTCTTTTTAAGTAAAGTCGACTAATTTAAGTCTAGAGTGGTGAGTGACAAACTCGCTGCCTTCATTATTGATGGTCTGGTCTTATATCATGAATGAGGCTTTAAAGCAGGCTGTATGCACAAGTTTGACCCTTTAAATTCCAGGCTTATTACATAAGGCTTATTATTTATCATTATTATTACTATTAAGCACAGGGACTTCAATGCAAATGGGCTGAGCTAATATTAGGATATAGAAGTGTGTAGAGTATAGAAGATCTTTCTGTGCTCTGACAGTATGTTGAAAATGTAATAAAAGACTTCCATTTCATTTTTAATTACATAAATTTTACTTTACTTGTGCTCACCTGCAACGTTATCATACTGAAAACACAGCCTCATCTTTCCACCTTTATTTCTAACTGCTTGAATGTTCGGTTCAAATAACACTTAGAAGACAGGCTTCATATTTTCAGAAGCACCCAAAACAGAAAAAAATTAATCATCTGACATGTACCTACCAAAGGAAGAAGGAAGAAATCTGTGCAATAAAAAAGCAGCAGTGCCGTCGGGTACAAAGTGAAAGTGATTAAAACTTCCTCTCCTTGCTATTTCAGCACGTACTGCATGAAGTGACACCAGTCTTGCGGATGCAGCCGTGATGATGACTCTGAGTGTGACTCTCTGCTTTACTGCTGTTCTGTTCAGCCAATACAGCGCCGTTCTAACAGCAGGTGAGAACAACATTCAGACTCCATCAGCTTGTTTTAGTTCATTTTTTGATATATTTCTATTTTAGACACACCTGCTGTTTATAATGCAGTGCTGTAGTCTTTCTATTTTATTCAGATTTTATTATTGATTTTTAAGTATTTTTAAAGCTTTCTAGTTTAACTTTCCTATTAAAGTATTTTTGGAATCTGTGACAGGGTCTGCATGATCTGATATATATATATATATATATATATATATATATATATATATATATATATATATATATATATATATAGCTTTAAGAATTTCAGTTGTTTTAAGATAAAATAAGTCTGCTGGCTGTAAAAAAAATTACATATTGTACTTATGTTGAGGTCATACATTCTGCGTCAGACCAAAACCCTGCTGCAACATCAGCCAACTTCAAAAACCTTGTCATCAATCTCCAAAACCCTTATCCTCAATGGACGGCTCAAAGTGATTCCAGGGCACACAGTCAGTTCAGATTTGGGTGTCATTTAGCAGCAAACTGTTCCATGATAGGGATAAATCTTAGGTATAAATGGTGAGAGAGGAGAATTAATTTATTTATAATGTTGTAATTTTTAAATGTACATTAAATAAGGCTGAGATCGCTATCTGAAATGTATATATATATATATATATATATATATATATAGAGAGAGAGAGAGAGAGAGAGAGAGAGAGAGAGAGATGGCCTATTATTTGTGTATTTTGAATATTTTCACACAAATTCCAGCTTTCACAAGCATTATCACTAACATTAGCCTTTTTTCCAACCAAAAAAACGGTGAGAACAGTGCCTGTGTGGCCTGAATTGGCGGAGTCAGTATTATAGGACTGCTTTTGGTGCACTGATTGGGACATGTTTAAAACTGCAGCCACCGTTGACTCTCTGGTTGATGTGAATGAATATGCAACATCTGTCACTGAAGTCATCAAGAAGTGTGTAGATGATGCGACTCAATCAAAGCAAATTTGCCAAATACTCACAAATTTTCTATACCGCTTATCCTTCTGGGTCACAGGGGGAGCTGGAGTCTATCCCAGTGGTCACTAGGCAGAAGGCAGGAAACATCCTAGACAGGTCGCCAGCCCGCTGCAGGGCAGACACACAGACATATACATTCACACATATACACACTAGGCAAATGCCCTGACTGCATGTCTTTGGATTGTGGGAGAAAACTGGAGCACCCAGATACAGCTGGGGAATGAAACCTAGGCGCTTCTTGCTGTGAGACAACAGCTCTACCTGCTGTGCCACGGTGCCACCTGATTTAACTATATATATATATATATATATATATATATAATATCAACCTAAAAACCATAAAAATGACTCAGCAGTCTGCTGCACTCTTCATGTGTTTTTGAATATCCCACTTGATTATATCAGCTTAAATTGATTTTAATTTTCCGTCATTATCATTTCAACTGAAGATTCAAAGAAAGGCAAAAAAAAATGTGAAAGAAGAATGATAAGGTAAAATCTTCTCAGACTCTGTTGGCTGATGCTTAAAATCCCATCACTTTGATAGATGTTTATCATTGCATCATCCATCTGTACACCTGAATACACAACTCTACTGACTGAACTCTGTACTTTTAGTGGTTTATTTCTAGGCTATTGGTTTTTCCTATAGCCTCTGAACTTTCTCAGTCTGTCTGAACTTTGTCGTGTACTTTCTACAGGCTCTGTGATGAAGAATCAAGGAGAAAATCTGACCATGGTGTGCACCACAGAGGACACTGACCCAATGGGTTTATATCTACATCTAAGAAACCCTGAGAAACATGAAGTATTTTACTATGACATCAATAGTAAAACACTGCAATACACCCCTGAGTACGAGGGAAGAGTCAACGCGAGCGGCAACTCCAAGAAGCTAACAGTAACCATCAGGAGTCTACGAGTGAACGAGACGGGCGTCTACACCTGCGTGTTTAACTTTTTTGACGGAAAACGTGTAGAAAAGGAGACGAATGGTGCTCTGGTGTTTGTGAAAGGTGAGCAAACATCTGTGTCACTGAATCTGAATCCATATGACATTCTCCTTCTGTACTGTGACGTATTTGCACGAGAAATGTGGTATCAGGGAGCGTCTCTGACCTAGCTGAGCATTTCCCCTTTGAGGACAGGTGGGAGTGGGAGGAGAGGTCAAACGTGATATTATTGGCTAATATTATTTTTCCCCACTCACTGGTGCACAGTAACATAATCAAAAATCAGACGTGTTAGAGCGGAGCATCAGTCATTACATTTTATAACAATATAAAACAATATAATACTAACAATACAAAAATCAATATGATTTAAGGTTGATTTTAAACAGCAGTACGGTATACAGTAAGAATATATCTGATTATATTAACTCATTTAGAATTTTTATTTCATCACTATTTCAAGTGGTAACATTTAAAGAAATGCAAAAAAAGTGAGTAAACTCCCCAAAAATTACAAAAAAACAAATTAAAAGAAAGACAGTGAACATTAGCTCATTAGCTAATTAGCTTACGCTCACCTCCGACTGTAAAAGTGGATTAACTCAGTGTATAAGGATGGCTTCCGCATCTGCAGCAGCTGTTTTCCCTTCATTGACACTGTTTTGGGAATTTATTGTATCTGTTGTTATGTGCTCAACTTGGCACCCCAGATAAATAGAGATAATCATGACTACTAGATTGTGAATCATTTCAATTCCCTTACTCTCCTCATCCACCTTAAAGAACCTGCTTTATTTCTAAAACACAACGGATAAAAACTATTACAGTTTTGTTCAAAATGCAGTCAGCAAAAAAGGATCACACACAATCAGCTAAGCTGGCTAATATGCATTTTATTTTATTCATTCTCATCTGATTTATGTGATCCTAGTCTGAAATTTAGCCATCAACATTGACCTTTTTGGCTGTCAACATTCATTCTCTGATGTGACTGTGATAAGCACAGCAATAAATACAGCGTTGGCAAAAAGATGCATTTGTGGTATTTGTGTATTTATTTAGAGAAACATTTTATTTCAGAATTTCTGTATCGTTCAGTGGCAAAGTCAGTCTGTAGCCTGGGCTTCGCTGTGTTTTCCCCCCACATGCGCAGGAAAAGTTAGCTGCCTTGAGACGTTCAGCACCTCAGACAGGGCCTCAGGGACTAATGTTACAGAAGCAGAAGAACTCACTAAATATAGAATCAAGCCAATAAACTATTCACAGACAAAAAGAGCTACAAAACAGTGGACAGCCAGTATTTAAAACTGCGCTTTCTCTAGCTTTGAAGAGCCAGCTTATTTACACAGCTAGCCTGCTAGCTAAGCTAACTAACATTAGCTTCACCTGACAAGTTAACTTAACAAACGCAGCCTGCCAGGTCACGTTAGACAAGCAAACCACCTACATTTAACCACAGGAACCATTTCTAGTAATCTACAAACACAGATATGTTAAATCTGTCACATAAATATGACAATCAATCAAAACAGTAAAGGCAGAAGTCAAGAAATAACATTTCTAAACTCCTCGGTCGGAAGAAACGGCCGCTCTGTCACCACGTTTAGCGATTGAAGCGATGGAACTCCTGGCCGGTGAACAGCATTGTCTTCTCCGAGAAGGATGCATACGACGCTGCCTTCAGATTTGGTCAAAATAAGGCAGCTTTGAAGACAGCTGACTTCCGAATGGGACAGGCTTCATCAAGGGAGCGCGCCAACGCTGCCTTAAAATGCTGCCTACTTAGACAGATGCCTCCTTATTGGAACACAACAATATTGTTCTAGAACGTTCTCCCCCATCTGCACTGGTCTCATCCTCTCATCCATTCTGTTCTAGAATGTTCTCCCCCATTTCATATTGGGTTCATTTGCTTTATCAGATCATTTTCTACACATTCTAATATTAGAATATTATATCCAATAATATTCAGTATAAGAACAGAATGTTGTGGACTGTTGGGTCAGTTTGCTCTGGCCTTAACTGAAAATGTGTGGCTTTTACAGGAGTGAATGAGACGACTGCCCAAGCTCCTCTTAAAGAACCGTCTGCCAAGCCAGAGATGCTTGTGCTGGTGTCCGTACTCCTGGCCTGCGCTGTTGTCATACTGTGTGTGTTGGTGACCGTGGTGTGGGTAATACCCAAGGTAAGCACAGTGTACTCACACTGGCCTGTAGCCATTTGTATGGATTTGTATGGATCACCATCTAACTAGCCAGGTTCCTTTTGAGTGCATTTAGCAACAGGCAGTTTGCAAAATAGTTGAAGACATTACAGTAAACATTACTCAAGGTGGCCGTCCACCTGAATAAAAATCCATTCACATGAACTCTACAGTATGTAGATGATTGATTTAGCTGCTTCAGTGGTGACAATTTTGTCAAGTTTTATGATGGAACAGTACAAAAGAGGACAGTAATCTAGGCTACGTAAACGTTGAGGTATAAAGAATTAGTTTAAGTTGCGAGCTGAAAGGCCTGTAAATGCTTTAAAAAATAACAGTTCCTAAATGGTTCCTGGCTTGGGTGTATAATTCTTGGAAAAGCTTTATATAGTAGAGAACATTTACATTATGTTGAGATTCTCTAAACCTTAGAAAGGTCCATCAAACACACATCTTATTTCTGTAAAAGATTCTTTAAGATCCATCCATTGAAAGGTTATTTAGGGAACTAAAAGTGGTTCTGTTATGGCACTGATCCTCAGGGAGACACAGACGATCCACATTTTTGCTACATCCAAACTCGCAACACATAGGAATAGTGCAAAAATGTGGACTGTCCCTGAGGACTTATCTGAGAACCAGATCCAGTCTGTGCTGCTGGCTGCCAGCAGAGGGCGATGGCGGCGAGGCGCCACCAGTTCAGGGTACTCCAATTCTCAGAAGCCCTCAGGCTGATTAGGGCCAACCTGGCACACCTGTGGTCTGGTCTACTTAAGGCCGTGGCAAACAGCAGCCCTTTGTCACACCTTTGTGGAGGGGTGACCGGTATTGCACTCAGTGTTGTTCAAGAAAAGAAAAGAAAAAAAAAGAAAAGAAGTGTTGAAAAAAGAAATTGCCCCAAAACAACAGAAAGAAGAAAAAGAGGGCTAAAAAAGAATAAATTGCCCCAAAACTACTTACAAGACAAAAAGAAGGCTTAAACAAGAAACGGCTCCAAGCCAAACAAAAGGTGTTTGTTCTACAAAGAACAAACAGGTGAAACATAAAACTGATCTTCCCCTCATAATTACAGAGGAAGTGTCTTTTGTTTTCTGATTATCTTTTATTTTACTTTTCTATCTCAGCCTCGCCAGAATTCTTGTGTGCAAATTTAGATCAAAACAAACATGGTAGATGACAGCAAGGCGCTGATTAAAGTGCTGGTTGTATGAATTTGGCAGCATAAAAGTGAAACAAAACAATATTTATTTTGTTCTTTACAATGTCAATTAAGATAAAATGAATTTTCTTCATTCAGCTCAACTTTCCATTCGGCTGGGCTCTGACTGGTTATCAGCCTTTTTGATATCAGCACAACACATGACAGTCACTGTTCCATCCTCACTACAGGATGCTGAACATATTTCAATATTTATGACTCCACATCAGAGGATAATCTAGGAAGATAATCATTTAAGACTTGCCTGAGATCGGGATGCATTTTCATATTATCAGGATGGGGCGAATTGGCGTTAAAATTTGCCTTAATATCCTGTAGGGTGGGCTAGGCATAGGGGGCGGTCTGTCAACATGTTTTGTTACACACTTTTAGTAAAAGTGGGTCCTATGTAGGACCTAGAAAAGGTTGTATGACTTAACAGCAAAACATTCAACAATAGCAAAACTCTTACAAGCCTACAGACTTTAAAGGACCAAATGCAACTGGCTCTACATAATAGACAAGAACCGTTTAACCATGCAGAGAACCATTTAAGCATTTGAATTGTCCTTTGAGATGTGGTTTTAAATGTAACCATTGCCAAATGCACATGAAAAACTTTTTTAAGGCCTTTATTGGATAGTTGAAAGGATTTCATAAAGATCACATTACAAATGATCTAGATTTATAGATAGACAGATTATAGTAGGCTTTATTTTAATAGGCTATATTTTAGTGGGCTATATTATAATGGGATATATTATAGTAGACTACATTATAATAGGATATATTACTTTAAGCTATATTATGATATGCTATATTATAGTAGGATTAATTATAGTAGGCTGTAGTATAATAGGATATATTATAGTAAGCTATATTACTTTAGGCTGTTATAACAGGCTATATTATAGTAGGTTATATTATAATTAGGTTCACTGTAGTAGGCTATGTTATAGCAGTCTACATTATAAAAGGCTGTATTATGGTATACTGTATTATAATAGTACTGTCGGAACAAAACCTTATATCTTCATTTTCAATTTTCATTTTTTAACATTATTTGAAAACGCCAGCTGCCACTTTTACACTGTGTCAAAATTTCGTTATGATCGGACCCATCAAAGTGGTCTAAAATCATTTAGAATAAAATTGTTATATTAACTTGTATTGAAATTTACGTTTTTCCCGTCTGCCGTGAAGACACAAGGCTTTGTTCCAATAGTGACAGTTCTGTAAAAGTATGTTATATTATAGTATACTGAGGCAATATTATGGTAAACTATATTATAGCAGGCCGTATTATAACAGGCTATTTTACAGTAAGCGATATTATAGTGGGCTATAGTGTAATAGGCCACTACAGGCCACTGCAGCTTGTGCACTTTGTGGTCTGTCTTAGGCTGGGCCTACACTACACGACTTTTAAAATCTTAACAGGTTTCTAAAACGGAGAGCATCACAAACTTAAGGTCCGTTTGCCACAGAATTTCTTGTCTTTTCATCGTGAGGACGCTCACACTAAACCACAAGGCAAAGAGAGAGAATAACACACAAAACAAGTTTGGGCTATGAATAAGAACTCAAACTCCCAGATCCCCTCAGAAACCACACAACACAAATAAACCTTCCTGGACTAGACCTGGGAACCGGGGGGGGCAAACTGGGGATTAATATGGGGTTGAGAAGAGCTGATACAGTGAGAGCTGGAGAAATATTTCACTACAAACTGGCAGCTGAGCTGAAATTGTAAAGACAGTGCTTTGGCATCTGGATCCACACATTATAAACATGATAACGACTCTTATCTGCCTGTGTTTTACACGCTGCTCCTCTGTCTCTGTGCTGGTCATGCTCGTCTCTTCGCCTGTTTCTCTGCTCTTCTAGCTCTCTGATTGGCTGTTATTTGAATCACTCATTGGGTAAATCTCTGACCTTCTCACACTACAGCACTCGTGATGGTTTTGAGCTGTAAATATCAAACGTGCTTGATAATATCGGAGGACCTACGATCACTTCAGTGTTCGATTGGAGGGCTGAAAATTCACTCGTTTCTCCTCTCACACTACCCCCCTTTGTTGCAAGGGGCAAATCGGGCTTAAAATTGGGCAAAGAGTCATGTAGTGTGGGCCCAGCCTTAGAGGTGAACAAAAATGTCAAATTGCTGAGTCAGCTTAAAAGGCTACTTTTGTTTCTGTGTGTAGGTAAAGGCCCTGTGTGCGAGTTGAAGAGACGGATGGTTCCAAGGCTCATAACTCAGTATATGAAGATATGCACGCCCATCGTATGCAAAGGGGCTAATCTGACCCTTTAATGGTCGAGAAAGTCTTGAAAGATTTTTGTTATGCAAATTCTCTCAATTATACATTCTCATATTAAGGTACCATGACTGAACTACATCAGAGGGCAGAACTGCATCTTACACTGTGGTCACAGCTTATCAACACTAACATTTGAACTCTTAATAATCTTCTTACCACGGTAAAATTAGCTGTGTACAGGCTACAGCAACTCACTAAACTCACTTAAAGCGAGCTCAGCACCAGAGCCAACCAGCCCTGGATTCTGCACCAACGTTTTTTTTTTCTAATACATTTTAGAATAATTATCTTTGACAATTATTTTAAGTATAATTTTCAGTAAAAGTAAAAGCACCTTTCCGAAAAAAAACAACTTCAGCATAAGTACAAAAGTAGCAGCTCAAAAAATCTACTGAATGACTGAGAAATTTACAGAATGACGGTGGAACTTCCAAGTACATCCAGCATCTATCTGTACAGACACTGAAGTTTTTCTTCTCTTTTTGGACACTTTTGGTCTAAGATAATATACTAAATCTCTAAAATGAGAGGAGTGAGTAGCAGTAAAGTTGTTCAGGAGCTGAACCAACACAACAGAATGAAATTAAACCCATAGTAAGAAATTAGGAATGAAATGTTAATGACTAAATGGTTTTGAGGACACTTTATCACATATTTGCAGAAATAAAAAAATATTTTAATATGTGAAAAAACTTCACTGAAGTACATGGAACTGGGCAAATGGAGTTTGTTACTACACACCTCTGGGCCACTGCAATACTGATATTTCAGAAGGCTGCAATTAGCAACTCATCTTTCTAACCAGTCATTAAATTTATTAATTGTGGTTCTGAGCATCCTGACTGATCATAGATGTATAGGATTTTGTGGGGAGTTGGATGAATCATGATCACAAAAAAACAAATAATTTCATCAAAATAATGCAGGCCTGTGCATTTTTAATATATTGCATGATAAACTGTAATATGTAGCAGAATTACAGCAATTTGGTGCACATGGTCTTGACGTATTCATACTTCTGAGTTTTTCAAATGATACATGTATACAGTGCTGTGCAGCAAAATAGACCCCAAAGAAAACTTCTTTTTTCAGATTTGTCACTGTTTCACCATCATCATTACATAGAAAACCTCAAACACATGTAGATTCACTGGTGCTTTTGCGTAGCAAACAAAATGGCCATAATTGTGTTCAACAAAATTGCGTCTCCTGTCACCACCATTGCAAAGAAAGGAGTCTGTAAGTTTCTAGACAATGAACCATTTCACATCAAACCACTGTGAATGACTGACTGTCCCAACAACTGAATAACAGCACTTGAGAAAAAAAAAAAAGAAATTTGAATAAAAATAATAATTATTTTAATATTAATATTTGAAATATATAAATATATATATGAGGTCAGAGCATGCTTGCGTTCTATGATGTTATACTCGGTTCTGGTGCACAGACTTTTATGTGAAAAGTGGTGTTAGGTAAGGGTGAGGCTAGCTATGGCCAGTGTTGGGTGTTATTGTAGTACGCTTCTGGGAGCCTAGCGGTGAACAGAGTGAGCCTACAGTTAGTTCTCAACCATTGACCTTAAGTAATTCAATACTAAAGTTAGCTAACTTTCATCTTTCATTCTTTTCCTGATGTTAGTTAGCCAGCTAGCAAATTAATATCCATTCTAATTTTCAAAGTTAGCAGCAAACTAGCTACCAAAGAAGACAGAATGTATAGCTGTATGCAGATATAGCTGGTTAAAATAATGTCACAAACACAGACAGAATGTACGACAATTAAATACATATTCATTAATGAACGTTAGAACATACTTCTTTATTTCTTCTTATAATGACGTAGAACAACATATTTAACATATCATCACACTACTTTTCTTATACATGTGTACTGTACATGGTACCATACCTTTCCCCACTAACAAATTCCCATACTGATGTAGTACAGTAGATTTATACTATGAAAATAACCTGTTTTGGTGCTATTTTTTTATTTCTTTCTAATTTTCATCTTGATATATTTTAATCAACATGCTCATGATGATGATGATGTGGCTCATGAAACCTGTGCAAATATGTGAAAATATGAATATAAAACAGTGAACTGCACTGCATTACACAGAAGCAGCTGCTTTTATGGAATCAAAAAAGGGTGATTCATGTTTTGAGCTTGTGATATGATGAAATAATGTTCACAAATAATTGCAAAGCCTGCAGTTGTGTTTCACCTGTTGTGCACATGTGAAAAAATTGGCATGCACATATCTGAATTTGTGAACTTGTGAAAAAAATAGTGAATATATAATAACGTTTTGTAGCTATATAAATATTTTATGCAGATATAACTTGAACATGTATAAAAAAGATTTAGTTGTATGTAAAAATATTTTTTTACATGTGTAATTAAAATTTTGCAGGAATATTTTTAACAGTAAGGTTAGATACATATCACAGGCCTTTGTAAGCAAAACAGTGGGAATCCCTGTGTTAATACGTGAACATAATTTTGTGTTAGCGCCTAAATATTTGGCGTGTTAATGCAACAACATTGTACCCTTTAACACGTTAAGCAATAAGCTTGTGCATTTGGGTTATGGTGCTGTTGGAAACCTTTGTGAACCATAATGCTTGACTGCCACCTACTGGTTTGGTGTTATTGTTCAAACAACATACAGAACCAACAGACTAAATAATGGAAAATTACAGTTTATTTATTTATATAAATATTTATTTGAACAATTTCGAAAGAAATTATTCTGTAGGCCAGTTGTAATGGAATTGTAAATAGTGAAAGGAATATCTGCTCATTAACATATGTGTATATATACATATGTGTGTGTGTGCATGGTGTGTTTGTGTATATGTGTGTGTGTGTGTATATATATATATATATATATATATATATATATATATATATATATATATATATATATATATATATATATATATATATATTATTTTTTTTTCTGGAATTTAGAATTCATTCATGTACCTAAATCATAAATCATTTAATCATTTCATTAATTATAAAATTTGTGTTGCTTTACCTTGTGATTACTTACATAAACTGATTTTTTTGATGAAAAACAATGTAATGAAAAACAATGTAATGGTCTCTGAAAACCATTTCCATTAAAAGTACTGTTGTTTATATGTATATAATGGTGACTGGTCAGTTTGTGAATAAGAAGGAAAGATGTAATAAAATTGTGACTAAACTTACTGGAAGCCACCATTTACTGAAAAAACATCAATTTAGAAATTGGTATTTAAGAATATATAAGCTAATGGAGAACCATCAAGGCTCTCTATGCATTCAGAGAAGACCTTATGATTTCTGAAGACTGAAAAAAATACATTGTAATTTTTAGTTCATTATTATTTAGTATAATCATGTTTATTTGTAAACATTTTAAGCCAGAAATATTTTCACTGTCTTTTTCTTTGTCAACGGAAAATTGCGAGATTTTAAAAGTACCTATTTACAGCACTATACACATTATACAGCATTTACTTTATAGAGTAAAATGTCATCGCAGTCAGAACAAAACGTTGTATCTCCAAAATAGTAATTTCTTCTTCCCAAGTCATTGTGGAGCATTTCAATTGTTTCATTCATCATGAATTTTTCTGAAAACATAAAGGTCAGCTGGTGTTTTTAAATTATGTTAAAAAGTAAAAAACATCAAAAACAAAGATAAGAGGTTTTGTTCCGACAGCAACGATATATGTTTACATATCGCTGCTGTCGGGACAAAACCTCATATCTCCAAAATGGATACTTTACAGGAGAAGAAAAAAAACATACTTTACTTTTAATGTAAGTCAACGGAACCAGAGTTTTTCACACGTCATTTTGGGTCATTTCTTTTGGTCCATTCATCACGAAATTTGTACACAATGTAAAGGGCAACAGGCATTCATTTCAAATTATGTCAAAAACTGAAAAATGACAAAAATGGAGATACGAGGTTTTGTCACGACGACAGCAATAATTAAGTCTTTCGTATTTACATTGGAAGAGCAAACGAGGTTGTTCTGAGCATCCAGCAATGACGGATAAGGCAAACCTTAAACCTGCAGGAAAGGGGGGTTCGCCTCTAAGACAAACCACAATGCATTAGCTGCAGTGGCCTGTTGGGAAATGCACAGCTTTGTACAAAGTGTGAATCATCACACATAACAAGTAGAGCACAAACAAGTCAGCAGCTGCTTTTCTTGCATTCAAACAAACCATGACCACACACACTCATAGAAACCCTAGTGAACAAGCAAACGTGTACAAGACTTCTCCATCTAGGGATTAATATAGAACAGCCTGTCATAACATACACACTCTCAAAAAAGATGGTTCTTCAAGGGTTCTGTAGTAAATAACATGGTCCTATATAGAAATATGCACAGTCAAAGAACCTTTCGCATGACTAAAGGGTTCTTTGCATCGTGAAAGCGTTCTTCAGATTGATGGAGAATGTGCTGTAGATGGTTCTACGTAGAACCTTTTTAATAAAAGTTTCTATATAGCACCAAAAAGGGTGCTTTTCTTATTACAAGCTTGACAACATAACAAAAGAAAGACCCTTTCTGGTGCTATATAGAAAGCTTTTCAAAAAGGTTCTATATAGAACCCTCTACAGCACATTTTCCAATCAAAGGAACCATTTCATGATGCCCAGAACCCTTTAAACATGCAAAACTTTCTTTTGAGTGTTCATGGTTTTATATAGAACCATTTTCTTTCACAAAGAACCCTTGAAGAACCCCCTTTTTTAAAAGTGTAGGCTACTATAATATAGCTAACTTTAATATAACCTATTGTAATATGGCCTACTGCAGTATGTCTTATAATAAAGTAGCTTAGTATAATATAGCTTAATATAACATTTCTTAATATAACATCTCTCTTTTCCTGGAGTCCAGCAGCTGGCAAACAATATAAACTTGTGTCCCGTCAGTGGGTTAGCGGGTGAAGCTTTGTCCAGTGGACCTGGGACAACAGGTTTGAGCAGAGAAACATGGAATTCTGTGTAATTCCTGCTTATACTAAGTAAAGTGGCCGGTCGTTTCGGTTGTTGTGACACAATATTCTAAGAAATTTGCCCAATTCTTGATTAACACACTTGCACCGTCCGTTACATTGTGGGTGGTACTCGACGTCAGACTAATCGAAACCCCAGTATGTTCAAAGAAGGCTGATCATACTTGAGAAGTGAATTGCGGACTTCCTGTCAGATAAAATATCTACGGGGGTACCAAAATAACAAAAGACTTGATTTACTGAGGTCTCGGCAGTTTGGAAAGCAGTAGGCAGTAAAGGAAAAGGAATTAATCTTACGCTTTGTGAGAATCTGTTGACAATGGTAAGTATAATAGATCAAAGCTCAGAGGGAACTGAGCTTGTTAACTCCACAGATGTGGGGATATTAGCAGCTTTCTCACTCTTTGTAGACATACCAAAAGCTTGCAGTTGGGCTGTTAACTCTTTCACACTGGCAACCAAATGAACTAGTTGGGATTGTTGTTCCACCTTTTGTTGCATAAGAGTCTCCAGAGACTGAGTAACGTTTGCTAAAACGTGCTGGTGTTGTCCAAGCAAGTGACCTTGATCAGCGATAGCCTTCTAGAAAACCTCATGGTCCACCATCTGCATTGATGGCGAGGTATTCTGTAAATAAACCAAACCAGTCAGGCGGTCATGGTAAAAAAAAAAACCGGAAAAAATAGGCTTTATTGTTCAGGGCTTTGGCAAAACTCAGTCAATGAACAGGCGATGGTCAAACCTAGAGACGTCAAAATACAAAGAAGCAGCAGAGAACATTTTTGACAGTGGAAATGTGCTCTCTTCAGTGAGGAATCATGCTTCACCAGCTGGCAGTCTGGTAGGTGAATCTGGGTTTGGTGGATGCGGGAAAACAGTACATCCCTGAATGCATAGGTCTGGGGCTGTTTTCCATGTTTTGGGTTCCTTGGCAGTGAAAGGTAATCTTAATTCTACAGTAATGTGATTGTATGCTATATAAATGTACAAATGGTGCGATGTATAAATACACAAATGGACACATGACCAGAAAAAACAGCAAGAAAACACAAGCATTATTTATACACAGGGAACAGAACAAGTTACAGCTGAGGGAACTTGACAAAAGAATAAGAACAAAGCAGGACTCTGCAGGACACATGGAAGGAGACTAGAGAGGACGGAGCCTGGACAGCGAAACTGTGACGATTTCAACTCGGAACAGATCAGTCTGTGCTCTGATAGTATGTTGGAAATGTAATAATGGACTGATTTTACACTTAAATTTAATTTCATAAACTTTACTTCATAGTCTATCTTGACACTTTTTCTCATGGCATCATCTTTCCACCTTTATCTCTAACTGCTTGAGTGTTCAGTCCAAATAACACTTAGAAAACAGGCTTCATATTTACAGAAGCAATCAAAAAATATTGTCATCTCACAAGTACCTACCAAAGGAAGAAGAAGGAAACCAATGCAATCAAAAAGCAGCAAGTCACGTGCAAAGTGATGCACACTTCCTGTCCGGTGTTTTAAAGCAGCACACCGCATGAAGTAACATCAGTCTTGCGGACGCAGCCGTGATGATGATTCTGAGTGTGACTCTCTGCTTTACTGCTGTTCTGTTCAGCCGATACAGCGCCGTTCTAACAGCAGGTAAGAACAACATTCAGACTGTATCAGCTTGTTTTAGTTCATTATTTGATATATTTCTATTTTAGACACACCTGCTGTTTATAATGCAGTGCTGTAGTCTTTCTATTTTATTTAGATTTTATCATTCACAAGTCTTTTTAAAACCTTCCTAGGTTTTTTACCAATGAAATATTTTGTAATCTGTAAAACTGTCTACATTAAATGCATGTAAATGTAGTTTTAACCCATTTTTACTGCTAAAACAGTTTTAACCTAGTTTTACTGTTAATGATGCAGTTTTAACCACTTTCACTATGTAGTTATAACCTGCTGTTACTGCTGATAATGTAGTTTTAACCCACACTTACTGTTAATGATTGATGGTTATTGGGTTCTTTTGTGGTTGAGTTTTAGTAAATTGGGATATCATAACTGTACAACTTAAGACTCTTTTTGAACAGAAGAACAGAAAGTGTACTTTACTGTTTATGCTGTTTTGAGCATGTTTTGTAAATAATGTAAATTTAATTTAGGTATGCAGAATTAAAAAATACAAATTACAGTTCAGTAATGGTAATAGTTTGCAATGTTTGGCTTACATTTAAAGTTTATGTTTTTAAATATATATCCTTTACACATATTTGATATGCATCCTATTTTTTGTATTTTATCTGTGTCATAAGAAAAAAAAAAGTATTTCTTTTACAGTATTTAGGATTTCCAGCAGCCCTTTACAATATGTGAAAACTTGGAAAGTAAAAAAGTGTTTTTTTCATGTTAACATTCATTAACATTAAAGATTTTACCTTCTCCTCTTAAAGTTACCCATTTTGGAAATACCAAAGTGATAATATACGCAGGAAGTAAGTTGGTTCTGTAGTCTTAGTGGTAGGGTAGTTACCTCACCAGTAAATTTAACTGCAGAGGACATCATGCTTTAAAACGCATTTAATGTATCCATAGGGGTTTACTTTAAATTCAGTACAGGCGCCAATCAAACCAACATATACCAAAAGCTCTAAAGCAAATTATGGTTTCTTACACTTTCTATGAATGTCGCATTTGTAAGCATCTACAAACACATTTGTAACATGTTATAATGTATTCATAAGGCATTATAAACGTGGTTATAAATATTTATAAAAAAGAATTACACTGAATTACACTTTATAGCCATGCTTATTATACATTATGAATTGTTAATATAATGCATTATAAATAGTGTTAATAACA